TTATAAGGACACTAATCCCACCACGAGCGACCCACCCTCATGGCCTCATTTAACCCCAATTACCTCCTAAAGACTCATCTCTAAATATCATCACAATGTGGATTAGGGTTTCACAATACGAATTTTAAGAGAAGACACAAGCATTCTGTCCATAACACTGTTGACTGTGATTTATGGGCTATTTGATAAAAGTTCAAGTATTTTTGCCCCTGAATATTCCCTTACAGCATTCCTTAATTTGACAGATGAGGAAGTCTGACAATGTAGGCAGTGACATTTAATTGAAGTGGTCCTACATGTAACTTTTTAAATGTTTTTTACCACAGTAGAGTAAGGGTTAGAACAGGATTAATGAGCAGTCAGGTAAGGAATGAGCTCAGCCTAAGGGGACTATTTTTCTATTCATGTTTTTATTTATAATATCTATCATCTCTGATATTTCATATCAGATATGTATACAGAAATGCTGAGTAAAGTAGAGAGTGTGTCATATTTTTTTAGACTAAAGACTGAAACCAAAGGTCTAACTTATAAACCTAATATAACAAATGATCTGCATAATAGCCAGATAAGCAGGATCAGAAATAAAAGAGTGAGTTCTGTGTTTATATACAGATTCTAGAATAAGGCAGATACCCCTTTAATTTCAAGCCTCTGATAATGTGATCCTTCTTCATTCAGTTAGAATCCCATGTTAAAATATATCACACACAATGCACTCTTGACTTCAAAGGCTACTCCATGCAGAATTAGACCGTGTCTGTTGGGACCGAATCAATTCTTTGACTTCATCTGCTGGTCAATTCAGTCAAATAACTGGCTTAAGTGATTTTTTTTTCTGTTGAATTTGCCAGGTAATGTCAGTTAGCGCATAACTGTTGAGCTACCACTGTCTCAGGGCTGAACTAGGCACTTTGCGGGGAGACACAGCATTAGAAGGCATGGTCCAATCTGCAGAGTTCACAATACGAAACGAATTTATTCTGCCTGGCAGGATGAGATTCGATGCTAAGGGCCCAGAATAAACTGGTGGTGGTGTCGGCTCTTTTGTTTCAATAGAAGGTATTTGAGTGCTGGTAGGCTTCCACAAGAATCGAATAGAGGAGAGCAAGAGGGGTAAGGGGGAAGCATAAACAAAATACTACAATTACAAAAAAAGAAATAGAATTTTAGGGACCAGCTTTGAAATTAGCCTGCCTCAGAAGCGTTGGCGTTGAAAAAACTGAGTTATAAATTAGTGAAAGAAGATTATGGAGGGCCTAGAGTCTCAAGCGAAGGAGTTTAAGATTTTTCTTGGAAGCAGTAGAAACCACTGGAGGTTTTTAAGCATGTTAACCATGAAGTCAAGTTGGAGCTTTTGGAAGATTGCCCTAGTAATGGCACACTGAGTAACGCACAGAGGGGAGCGGCAAGAGCTCTGTGCTTCTCCCGTGCCTTGGCTACTCCTTTCTGTCGTCACACTCACAACCCTCCGCTTTTGCACTGCGGATGCTCTAGCGGTCACAGCAGAGCCCTGACCTCAGAACAGTAGATCTGTCCACATTATGCAGTCCCGCACTCGGACTGCCAGACCCTGGTGACAGGAATCACTCAAACGCACACATTGACTCCTCCCCAGCGTGTTGGCTGTTCCAGCTTCCACTGAACTCAGCGGGCAGTACCTCTGTATGTCTTTGGTTAGCTTCCTTTCCCGTTACTCTGCACCTTCTCTTCCAGAACCCACCACCATCACCAAACTTTACCACGTTTCTTACTAGAAGAAGTTTGCTGATTTCCCCAAATTTACGAAATCCTTTGCTGAGATGGAGGAAGCGTCATGCATGACTAGGCCTTTAACTCGAAGCCAATGACCTGCTGTTACTTGATCTCATTTTCACTTTGTTTCTGTTTGTGAGGGGCATCTTTGGTCAGAAGAAGCATCCGTTATACATATAATATAGGTCAGATGCAGGGCTAGATGTTTTGCGTCTGTTATCTCATTAAATCTTGTCATCAGCCTGTGAAGCAGATATTTCAGTATACTCATTTTACAGACATTGTGCTTATTCAGTCTAGTGTGGCCACAGGGCTCAGCACAAGGGTAAGGGGAGAATGTTCACTTGTCACTGTGGCGTGAGCCTTGAAAGTCTGTCAGCTGACGACCCCCATGCTCACGTGCACACACACGCATATTCATTCATTCTTGTTCGTTCTTTCTCTCTCTCTCTTTACTCCAACCCCTTCTCAGCTTCCCACTAAGTGTTCCTCCTCCATGCAAGGAAAAGTGTGGAGGAGAGAGCTTAGATGGGGGAAAGAATTTGCTAGGATCCTGTTTGTGAGTAGAACTCTGGTTTCCACCTCAAGAGGTGACAGCAGCACACAGCTGGGAATGGGCATGACTTTTCTGGACATCCAGGAGGATGCTATAACGCTTGTCCTACAGAAGCTAGACCCCATCTCTTCGCCACTAAGGGAGCAAGCAGTACATCCATGGGGAGGGTGGACAGGCACCCAGAGCCATGAAGTTCAGCTATTACTGTGTTTCCCTTGATACAAGCTAGCTCTCTCTGTAGGCAACCACTTACCTAACATAGATCCTATGTTTCACATACAACCTGCAAATCTGTTTCATAAGCTCAGCAGGTCATCCTGTACCTTTAAAGTTGTTCATTTGTACCTACACATAAGACTTTAGCTCAGTTTGATCTTTCTGAGGACTTTGTGAATCCCAGTTGTTATTTAATACAGTTACTCTCCCTTACATGTTTATATCCACACCCATCGATAACTGTGCATCCACTGTTGATGCTGGCTGAACAAAACAGAGCTGAAGTCCAAATATTACAACATACCACTAGAAATCTCTCTCAGATTTGCAGTCTAGCCATTTATCCAAAGCCGCTGAGTTTAGTCATGTTACCAGTTCATTAATTCAATTTTAACCGAAATGTCATCAAGCCCCTCCCCCTTTTTCTCCAAAGGTCAGCCCTCCTGAAAGACATTCACTGCTGCCTTGGCTCCTCACAGAACTTCTCTGGACCTGACTTCTCCTTTGTAACATGCTGATATCACCCACCTGGCAGGGAGGGATGTTTAGGGGCAGATGCAGAAGGACAAGCAATAGCACTAGAGCATGACCTCAGATCAGGACCTTGGGCTTCATGGCCAGTTGCTGTGCTCTGTGCCATGCCCTCCAGTGATGGGGCCGGCCACCTAGGACATAGACACTCCTTTTCCCTGGCTGACTGGTGGGCAGGGATGTTGCTTAGGGGATCTTTTCTGACTCCAGTATTCCGTAATTTTATTGATCTTATTAAATTTGATTTAAGTTTGTTCAGAATTATTTAATTAACATACCATTTTTGTTTGTTATAGCCTTTCAGGTATTATCAGCACCTGTTCATCCACAGTGATGAAAAAAAAGGAAACATGCAGTATCTAAAAAGTTTACTTAGCTTTTGAATGTTTTAAAACGACTTAAAACACAATCTAAACTTTATCATTATTAAGTCGTCTGGCCCCAGCACTGCTCATATAGTAAACATTCCTTTTGCTGAATTCTCAATATTAAAGTTTAATCCAGACAAGAAACTCGCTAACTGCCCACCTTGCTTTCCGGCTGAACATCTCTCTCTTCTGGGCCCCGCTGGGACGTGGGCATCGGGATCTTCCGTGTGGGTGACGTACCCGCCAGTGCACTCCTGCTGCTCATTGTTCAATACGTGCGTTTGTCCTCTCAACTCACATCTTTCTTTCGAGTGGTAAATATCAAAGGAAGGCTCACCACCCTTCTCTCCTGAGTTCCTGCTTGACAGCTGTATTCTCAGTCAAGATTTAAGCAGCATGACAGTCCCACAGAAATTATAAGCAGAATTTTCTGTAACAATTTATCTTTTTTTTAACGATGATGCCTATATAATGCATCTTTACTTTCAACTAAAAGTTAAAATAATGATTCTTAGATCCATTATAGAAATACCGATGAACTTTTTGAGAATTTTTAGTAAACATAACCCAGTTTACACATGAAATACACACTTATTTAATTAGAGCAGGACAGATCTTATAATTTAATATAGATATTTAAGTATCGAAATTATTTAACTAGAGGGAGAAACTATAATAGGATCTCTTACTGAATAACAAAATATACCTTATATATAGTTGCTTTGTGGATCACATGCTGCATTTTAAATAGAAGTTAATACTTTTCACAATTGTCTGTATAAAAGAAGCTTGGAAACAGAAAAATATCTTTTTTATGTTTTAGGGAATGGCAAAGGCATGGGACATTACTCTCCTGTTGGAACATTCTCAGTTCGGAAAGATTCATCTTACCATGTACATATTCTTATCTAGATAGCCTGGACAATGCCAGGCTGTATGTTCTTTATAGAGAGAGAATAACTATCAGTTAATATAATTTTTGCATCAATGCTAAATAACTATTGGCAGAATAGTGGATTGATTCTAAAAGTATTGAGTGTGGGATAAACTAGCATACGAAGGATATTTCAAACTGAAAATAATATAGAAACAAAAATTAATTTTATCATTCTCTGTTCTTCTGATAATTTTATAGACAGGAGTGAATTTTACTCCCTTTCAGCTATGTGACCTTAAATATAATCTTTTAATGCAGCCATATAAACAAATTACCTTTAATTTTTCTTTTAGGAAAAAATTTGAAAATTCCCTGCAAAATATTTGTTCTTCCCTTATTCTGAGTTTTGTGATATATATTCAGTACTAGTTCTTGATAATTTGTTAACAAGGCGTTTGTAACACTTTGGACAGATGCACATACTGTTTTCAATCTTCACGGTTAATTATTCGATTTTGTATTTGATGCCGGAACACCCTGACTCCTAATCACTGCTCATTGTTGCAAGTCCATTATATTCTAACTGTTTGAGTGCTCCCATTGACCTTGAACTGACATTATAAGCTGTGTCTAATCTTTTCAGTCTATATTTCTAATGCTTCTTTTCTCTTTTCCTTTTTTTCTGATTCCTGTTTAGCATCACAATGGGGCTGCCTCTGAGCCCGGCAGCTGACTCCGCCCGCTCTGCAAGGCATGCCCTCTCGCTCATTGCCACTGCCAGACCACCCGCCTTCATTACGACTATAGCCAAAGAGGTGAGCGAACTTCTCAGTATGCTCCATCTTCTCATTTATAGGAATTATTCGATAATGTGAATCAAGGGTCCGTAGCTACAAATAATCTTTCCAGATTGTTGTAGGAAAATGCAAATTAATAATTTAGTACTGGAATAAATACGCATAATTACCTGTGTGCGTGCACACTGAATTCTGTGACGGTGCATTCATTACTTTGTTCTCTTCTGTTCATTTCTGTTCTCGGTTAATTCACTTGTAAATATTTAACAATAGCTTCTCAATCTGAAATATGGTAGATTTATTCAAATTAAACGTATTAAAGGTATTTACATTTTACAAGTGTATCTACCTGTAATCACAACTATATTTAACACTGCTCTCCAACTGTAAACAAAAGTGTAAGTCATAAACTTGCTAATTGTTTTTCCTATTACATGTCACAGATAAAGACTTGAATGCCAATTGATTCCCACATTCTCAGTGTTCTAACTAATTGCCCACATCTAACTGAAAAACTAGTAAAGAACAATGAACCCATTATAGGGTCTTTCCTATAGGTCTTAGTGGGAAGGCAAGACAAGGATGACCAGCTTTTAAATTTTTTTAAAGGTTTGTTCCTTTAAAAATCTCAGCATGAATAATGTGCGGACTTGGTCCACGGAGTATGGGCTCTATCTGAGTTGTTTTTCCGTTAGCTGTGATGAATTTTTAAAATACTAAATAAATATCTCGGAGTCAGCCCTGACAACCTGAAACCTATTGGGCCTGTGTCTGCCCCAGAGCCATCCTTAATAAGCATGCTGCAAATATCTGTGACGTGAAGGCAGCTCAAGGGAGGAAGGGGGTCCTAACAGCAGTGTGTGTTTATATGAGGCAGTGGAACTTTGAATTCATAGCTAAAATAAATTTGTAGACTTAAGGATATGTGTTTTTCCAATGGTGTTAAAGTGAAGTTCCACTGTATTTAAAGTATTCGTACGTATATATGTGTTTATGTATTTTATAGATACTGTATATTTATATAAAGTATATGTAGGTATAAATGACATACTTATTAGCCATGGAATTTTTCTTTTTTTACCAGTTTTTCCCATCAGTGGAATATGCACAGATCATAATTTTGAATATGCCAAATAAGCCTTCCATCAGTCTGACCACGTGTACAGGTCCTATAAATGCCAGGCATTAAACTGCCTCTTTAAAGAGAATAAACAAGTATTTATACTGTGTTTTTTAATTTAGTTTGCACCATTTACATATATGAGTATTTTTAAATGAACTATTACAATAGCCATGCCTTGGATTCATTCTACTCCAGCATTTGGTTAGAAGGTAATTTTAAAATATTTTAATGTAATCGTCCACATCTGTTACCTTTTAAAACCAAGTTTTCTACCTCACCTAGCGGCCCTCACTGTTGCTGCCGTCTCCTCTGCCATCCCCGTGGCCCGCTGCTCCGAGGCTAGTCCTCGGCCAGGCCGTGGCCCGCTGCTCCTCTTTCTTCTCTGAACTGTGTAAGACTTACAGTTTTTGTTATCTTAGTGCCAAATAGACCAACCTTCAGTTTGTCTCTTTTTAAGAAATGTCAAGGTAATATTGTATCAAAGTCTCACATACCCAGAAACTTCGAGAATTTTATTAGAGCATACTTGCTGAGTGTTTATTGTACTAATTACTTCCTTTTGCAATCAGAAGTATTTCCTGACTCGCCTCCGGAGGTTTGTTTTGTTCTTGTGTTTTTCTGTTGTAATAAATGAAAAGCCAACCAGTGGCTAGAAATGTAAAATCCTATCAAACGACAGCCACGTCTACAGCATGGAATGTCTTTGTAGGTGCACAGACATACTGCTCTCGCAGCGAATACCCAGTCGCAGCAAAATATGCACACCACAGCTCTTGCACGAGCTAAAGGGGAAATTCTGAGAGTCATTGAAATTCTTATTGAAAAGATGCCCACAGATGTTGTGGATCTTCTTGTGGAGGTAAGAATGTCCTGTTTTAAGTGACACATCCACAGCCTAGATTAAATATTCCAAGGTAGTAACATAAATCAGCCTCTTTATTTCTAAAGGGAAGAAAAAGAAAGGTAACTAAAATGAATTAACTTCTGTACCATTTCTGGAGATCTCATTTAAATTTCCTCAAAAATCAAAACAATTGTTCCGTCCATTTACCACTCACCTGGAATTAATTGGTCTGCATTAGAATAATTTTTAAAGGTCACATTCTCTTTGACATCTTTCATTATAAATAAAACAAAACATACAGTGTGCTTGAAAAAAAGCTACCTATTACTGTCCAGAAATATGAACAGCCTTTAAGGTAAATAAATATGTTTTCTTTATTTTACTACACTGTCTTATAAAATGTTTCTCACAAATAAGAGAAAGGGTAGCCTGTAGTATAAAGTAAAAATACTGTAATTTTAGTAAATATACTTTAGTTTTAAAGTAAATATTAAAATCAAACTATCTAGAATTTTCTTTGGCAAAGGAGACCTAAGTTAATCATTTAATTTTTGGAAAGTTGAGTATTTGAAATTCATTTCAGATTTGTATCTTTTCTATAAAGGTTATGGACATCATTATGTACTGCCTTGAAGGATCTTTAGTTAAAAAGAAAGGTCTTCAGGAGTGTTTCCCCGCCATCTGCAGGTAAACAAGCCTTCGACAGCATGAAAAATAATTTTCAGTAACAAATAACTTTTTAAAAATCATAGTATAGTTAGTTAGTAGCCTTGCTCAGTTAGAAATTCAGTCATTAATTTCATATCTGCTTACTTTCTAAAAACAACTTAGGCAGCTTATAGTCAAAAACACAACTATAGTAGAACCAGCTATTTGAAATTGGGTCATGAAGAGGTTTCTCAAAACTTAAAAAATGAATTAAAGATGATCATATCTATTGAATATGTCTGTATTCTTATATTCATTACTCAAGTTAACATTTACGTTACAAAAAGGAGAGTTAGGAATTTTTTCACTTAGGAGAGAAGATACACTTTTCAGCCACTAGAAACCTTTATGCCACATTTTGCTGGTAAATTTTATTTATAATATAAAGCCTAGCATCTGTGTATTGTAGGTGTTTTGCCTATAAGAAAGCAAGAAAAGAAGCCAAGACCAGTTAAAACTTTTATAAACAATGTTGCATATGTTAATGATAACTCTAAGAATTTTATGTGTATAAGACAAGTTCAGTGATAGCCTTACTTATTTTTGCTCAGTTCCATGAGTGCATTGTGGTGGAAAGCTTTATTTTACACTGTAAGTTTCCTGAGAGTGTTGACGTTACACTGTGCCTCTTTATGTCCCTATGTTTTCTGGTATTTCGGCAAGTTTTTGCTGAATTATTTACACTCCGTCAGCATTCTCATTTATTTTTCCATATTTACAATAGATTTTATGTTTTAGTCTCTTCATTTTGCTGTTTCTGATTTACACCACCCAGAAATTAAAACACGAACACATATAAGAAAAAGATTACGTTGTATTTTACGTGTGTATAGATGCATATTTTCTTATGATATAGATTAGGCATGTTAGCATACCGTAATTTTTTAAACATTAATTTTGGTTTATGTTCTTTTTGTTAAAAATTATATATGTTAAATCTTGTATACATATAATTGATGTTAAGAATTAATGTAGCTGTTATATTCCCAGTCGCTTGTTCTCTAAGGAAATGTCTAAGTGAAAATGGACATTTGTCTGTCACTTAGTGGAGGTGAGGAAGCAGTTTTATTAAGACTCATCTTACTGAATATTAGCAAAGCACTCCTTATGGCACCAGTCACTGCTTCGTGAATAAGCCTCCCAGTGTCAGGGTGAGATAATTGCTCTAAGTTTAAAGGGCCTGTCTTTTCCCTTTGCTGGAAGCCTACCTCCTCCCCAGGCAGCATCCTCAGTTTCTTAAGTCATCTTAGTTTGCTGCATATCCATGTTTGTTTCCTGTTGTTTAATCACTGAAGACCAAGGATCCTGCTTCAGGTACTAACTAAGGAAGCAAGTGTCTAAACTGAATGCTTAGCACCAGTTTTTTTGTTTTGTTTTGTTTTGTTTTTCTGATTGGCAGAAAGCAGTTGTGTTTGGTTTATTAATTTAATAATATTTATCAAACACCTACTGTGTATCAAGTACTAGCTAGGGTGTGGAGACAAATAAGAAATGAGGTGATATCCCCACAAAGCACAGGATGTAATAGGGCTGGTAATTATAAAGGTAAATAATTTCAGGGTGCTAAGTTATATGCTGGAGTAGAATTACATACCAGGGACAGGTTGGACAATAAGTGGAGTGCTGAACTCTGGATATGGGAGTCTTAGAAGTTTAACAAAGGAGAAGGCAGACTAATAGTAACATCTGTGAAAATGCTTTAATAAAAGTGGCTGCCGAATGGAGAGGATTTGTCCTCCACAGGGGCTTGGGTGGTGGCGGTAGAAGTTGTAGTGAGTTTTGGGAAAGTGTCATAGAAGAGCTGACAAGGTGAACTTTGCAGAAGTAGAATCGTACAGAGAACCAGACCAGCAAAACTTTAGAGGCACGGAGGACTTCAGAGAACACTAAGCTTAGATGGGACTTCAGAAGTTTTACAGGTCAATGCCATGCCGCCTATTGGCTGATTTGTACTAGGTTGATAAATGAACAACAACAGAAATATCAATAGAAGTTAAAATTATTTTGTTGAATGTCTGCCATGTCCATGTCATCGTACCAGGAGGTGCCTTACTGCACTATGAGCCCTCTACTTACAAATAAATACCTTTCACTAAATATGAAACACCAGAGTCAATAACATGACTAGCTGTGGGCCAGTCATGTGACATTTGTTTTTAAAATCTTTATATAATTTTGTATTCTTTTTGTTTTTTGCTTTCCTTTACTCTTTTTTTTAAAGACTCAGTGAGTTTTAGCTGAGGCTGACTTCTGTGATGTTGCTCTATATATCAATATTCAGTTGCTGTGGTTGGAAGATCATAAGTTCAGGTTACAAATTGTAAATTCATTGAAAGAAAGAAGGATTCATATGAAACATTTGATTTTTCTAATTTTGTTCATATAATAGCTTTTCTGCCAATTGTTAAAACTTTTTGTAATATCTTCCACTGAAAAATAGAAATGAATTAGAACACAATGCCAGTAAAACATTCTTTCTTATCACTCACCAAAATTTGCTTGCTAATACATATTAAAACATGCGGTTATAGCTATGCGCAATAAATAAAATAATGTAATTATCTTTTGTTATTTATAAAACACTTTATACATTACCAAATGCTTTCAAACTCATTAATTCTCAAAAAAAATATTTAGGAAAGGCATTATATAAATTAAATTTTTTGGAGAATTAAATTTGATATTTGATAGTCAAGTGCCTAATAAAGTAGCTTCAAGGTAAAAACCCAAACCTCTTTATTCATAGTCCAGTGCTTTTGCCATTCAGTTTTTTGACCTGTATTAATTTATTTTTCCATTTATAAATATGTATATACATACACACACATACATACAACAGCCACTTATCTCGTTCCGTTGAAACTCTTAAGCAGCTTTGAAAATTAATACAAAATATGCAAAAAGGGAATTGAGGCAAAGGGAAAATAAGAGTAGCAAAGAAAGATAATGTCAAGATGAGTTTAGAAGTTTTATGTATTTGCCAGAGATGAGCCATAAATTTCTCTAAACTTCTTAGCGGCCGGTGTGCGAAGAGGGGCAGACTATTGGTACCTAAGTCACAGTGTTCAGATGCTAGAAATAGCATAATTGTTCAAGAGAAATATAACTGTTTGTAAAACTGAGATCAACAGGAAATTGAGAGTCTTCAGATAGCAAGCGTAAAATATATGTGTAATCTATTGACCACATAGTTTTAGAGATCTTGCAACTCTCAAATGTTGGGACAGAGTTCACATAACTAAATATTTTTAAAAGTACATTCAGTCCTTATTAGTTGAGAGAACTGAGGACACAGATAAGAAAGTGAAATTTTAAAACAAGTATTGAGAGCTCACTCCCTGTTAGGCCCTGCAGGGCATAATGATCTCTACCTGTAGTTCCTGGACTACCTTTCAAGAAAATTACCTGATTTCTAGGCTCTACCTGAGAGCCACTCCCTCAGTCCATCATGAAGCCTGAGAAGCCGCATTTAAACAACCTCCCCTGGGGATTCTTACCTACACTAAAGTTTGAAAACAAGTACTCTAATAATCCAAAATTAAGAGAAACAAAACCAGGGTCATCATTCTGTTATATAAAGCCTTGGATCCTGGAATGTTTATTTGTTAGTACATTGAATAAACTCAATTTCCAAGGAATCACCCCTTCAGCTCCTGCATTCCAGTGATGCACCATTAGTTTTTAAAGGCTTGCTTTAGTATCACAGAATGTCTGCCAAAGACAGTAACTTCAAACTGTTCATTAATCAGCTTTTATCTAAAACTCAGTGGAAAAAAACCAGAACACTTAGAAGCTAGTTAAACGGACACATGGTCCATTTATTCCTCTGCGTAGTCTAGTTTATATCTTTCGGTTAGACTCAACCATCGGTGAGCTGCCTGTTTGGACCATATGGTCTGGTCTCCTTCAGAGTTGCCTTCCAGGTCCCGCTTCAGCTTTACGCTGGCGGTTTGCATTGATGAACCGTCCAAGAGAGCATCACAGAGGATGGCCGGTGCCTTTACTGTAGGGATCCTGCTGCTGTCGTGTAGTGAGTTGTTCAGGGTCCCTTCTATGAGGACCCCATCAAGACATTTCTTTTAAATCGGTATGACGGGCTTTTTTGTTTTGTCCTAAAGAACTATTACATGTTTTGTTTTTTCTTCCACAGAACCAGTATTATTGTTTTTTCTTCCACAAAACCAGTATTATTGTTTTTTCTTCCACAGAACTATTACATGTTTTGTTTTTTCTTCCACAGAACCAGTATTATTGTTTTTTCTTCCACAGAACCAGTATTCAATTTAAAAAATTTGCTTTGGCCATTAGGCAGCTTAAAGCCAAATGCCCGATCTAACTTCAGTAAATTGTGGCTTACATCTTCCATTCTCCTTTCCTCATGATCACACCTCAGGCCTATCTCCCTTTTCTATCTTTTTACTGTATTATGTCCTGTAAGGGTCCCTAAATCCTTTACATAATGTGTATGTATATACATATGTATGTATGTGTTTATGTGAAATGTATACACCTTTTAAATTTTATTTCATAAGCCATAGAAACAAAAATAATCATTACACACATAATATGAACTATGATTACTTCCTAAAAATTAAAAAGAAAAAAAGGCTTCTCTGTATTAGCTGAAATACCCTAGCTCTTCCTGGAGGAGTTTATGTATCTGTAGATTTCTTTTTTGTAATATATTTATTAGTAAAAGATATAAAAATCATGTAATTTTAACTGTTGTATAAATTTTATAGTCATAGATTTAAATGTTTTCTAATAATTCATATTTTAGTTCTAAGGATATTTTTAATACTGTAGTGGCTTTCATTAATAATACAAGGAGATTATTTAGATTTGAATGCCCTTGAGAGAATATAGCACCCATATCCTTCAAAATACAATTATACAAAAATAGTTCTACTGCCAGATTTGTCATCACTATAACAAATAAGGCTGTATTATTACATAGGAATTAAACTGCATTCTTTTTA